TCAAATATTAAGAATAATATTGATTCATTAAGGACCAAGACAAATTTTTGTTCTCAAAATTTAAAATCCTTTTAATGGCAAGCTTATACTATGCCCTTAAAGAGCATACTTGCCAGAAATTTTCACCCTGGGGTTGGTCATTTAGGTAGCGGGAGGGGATGATCGATTTTGCGACCATTGGTCCAAATTTGGTCCCAAAGTTGATCTATTTTTTTGGTCGAAAAATCGACCAGCGGTCCTTAATGGCGAATTAAGATTAAAAATAATTTTAATCGAGAAATATTACTATTCTCTACAGATCTCTATTTTTAAAAGACAAATTCCCATGACGTTTTATTTTGTTCTTAAAGCATTTAATATTAACGAATTGATAGACGATAGTAATTCAATTTTGAAAATGGTATTGAGAAATGTTTTCGGAAGTCAAAGTAAGGTTAAATAATATCCTAATATAAATGAAAGGACTCATTTTTCATTCAGAAACCGTATATCCCTCACTTCAGTGAGAAAAAAAATTAATGGCCGTTGACGTTGACGAGAAGGATCGATAGCATATCGAGGGTCTCGGAGAACTCGACAGATGATAAGTTCGTGGAATATGTTTTCCCACCAAACTATTATATAGTATATAGAGTTTGTTTTTAGGAAAATAGAAATATGTAAATAAATATAGACATAATATTTAATTCTTGGCATTAATTTATGGTTTTTGTATTTTTTGTTATAATAGATATTTTGAATTTCTTAAGAAATTGTGATAATTTAATATGACTTAATAAAATTTTCTTAAGTATTCTACCGATCGTGAATGTAATATTTATGTTATTACATTTCGTACAGTTTTTACAAGAATATTAATATTTTAATTAAATATTATATTTTAACTTATACTTGACATTTAGAACATTTTTCTTCTAGTTCATATATGTATATTATTGAAGATTGATTATTGATAATAATTTAACAAGTACATTCCTGAAAAGCTAAAGACATGAAAGACGGTGTCTTTTTCGGAGTGAAATTATATTTTGGAATTTCAACGTTATGTGTGATTTTGCAGCACCCGGATATAATCTGTATAAATCGATAATTTACATCCGTCTGTTTAGACAAGATTACTATATGAACGTATAGTGCGCTGATCTCAGGAAAGTTTCCCTAAACACCACGACGAAGTTACGTGTATGCTGGTTATTACCCGGACACCTACTTTAACATGTTTACGTCAGAGAGTTGCGTCTGAGCTTGCGATATACTTACATATATCAGCTTCTGTGGCATGATATGAATTTTCGCTAATGTCGGCACTATTCGATGAATCGTTTATCATTTAAGTTGATGGTGCATCGTTATAATATTATTCAGTGATATTTGCAACATGCATCTCGAAGCTTTCATGAATCGTAACAAACGTAAAATGAAAATGAACAACATTGTTTATTGTTTCTGTGACTTTCATTGTGGATAGATCTAAATATTCTAAACATATTTCTCACGTTTTTATATTGTCTTTTATAACGTTATTTTTTCCAAGACTTGGAAATTTTCTTCAGATGAGAAAGTTATTTTCACAGGCGAATAATTTTATCTAATCTTAATTTATTTTTCTAAAAAGAAAAATTTAGATTTTTATCTTGTATAAAACTATAGTTGTTTTGGATATTATGTATATTTTTTACTTTCATAAATTTTGTTTTTCCGAAATTGTTAGGAAAAATTATTAATGGTCACGTGTTTTCTAAAGTGAAACATTTTGCAAGTGAAATGTTTTTTAGAATTTATTTTTACCTTAAAATCTGTGTGTTATTAAAGTTTAGTGTAGGTATTTCCTTGTTCTTTTAAAACTTAATTCTCAAGAAGGAGAGGAAACTTTCACTTATAATTTAAAAAGTATTAGTTTTTAAGTATTAGTCTTGTAAGAAAAGATTGATTTTTATTCATCAAAGAATCGGTAAAAGCTGGCTTGCTAACTTTGGGGTAGAGAGAGGTTCTTTCTGTACATATTATTAAGTTACTACATTCTTTAAAGCCTATATCTCATGGAAAATTCATCTTTTCATCGCATCCTTCTTTCAAGCTGTACTACTTCGCTTTATTAACTTCGAATTTAAAAGACTGTCTTCAACTGTACTTGTCCTTCGGTGGTGCTAGTTAAAAATTTAATTTTAATAAGGGCACTTTTCTTCAGTGCGCACTCTTCTCGAAATAACTTGGCGAGTTTGCTTCGCGATTGCGATTGTCGCAAGATGAAAAACATCCGTGTGACAACAGGCGGATTAGACGAAGCGTGGAGATCAAGCGGTTGTAAGCGGTTACGCTCGCGCAACGCGCTCGAGAGAGCGAGAGGCAATGGAGAATTGCAAGCGTGAACTCGCGGATGAAAGAAGACGAGACGGAGAGAGAGAGAGAGGGAGAGAACCGTTAGACGTACTTGCGGTCGCTATACGGTCGTTTCCGGTCTTTTAGCCGCGGGTCGCCGCTTCGAGAGATATGCTCTTCGCGCACCGACGTGACTATACAGTGTGTATCCGCGGTAAATGATCCAACGCAGCAATGTGTTGTATGCTCGGTAATAGTCAGAGGTTCGGTTGGATTAGATTATACTGATAACAGCTCGAAAAAAAAAAACGTATTGAAGATTGCACATTGAGGTAACATAAATATCGGAAGAATGTCTAATTTTAAACGAGATAAAATACACGTTTTTACCATTATACATTTTACAGAAGTGATAAGATGAACAATTGAGAAATAAGATCAATTATATATATATATATATCTTGTAAAAAATTCTTTTTTTATCATCTTATTTTAATACTTTTATGCGCAAAATAATAAGATGAATGAGAAATAATTAAAATATCGTTTTACATACTAAAATAGGGATTATAAAAGATTCCTTTTAGAATCTTTGTAGAAGCGGTTATTAAGTTATGCATTAAAGATAGGTTGCGCCCTTTTAATTAAGCGTTACTCTTGATTAATTAAATTTTTCCCCTCTTTGATTTTCTCTTTTTTTGTTTTCTCTCGTCTATAAATAGAATAATAATTTTAAAGGAATTGATTTTCTGCTAATTTTTAGAGAGATACATATAGGTATATGTATAGTTAAATAGTATCTATTTTTTGAAAAATGGAAACAAAGTAAAATGACATAGAAATTATATATTGGAAAACTAAAATAAATTTAAATAAATATAAATAAAATGAAAAATTTTTTTCATCAATAAGCCATGTCTATTGAATTTGTTTTAATGATTAATGGAAAAAGGCGTGAATAATAATTATTTATACAGTTTTATTTAAAAATAAGAACGATTTTGGAAATATCGAAAAAGATAATTTGAAAAAATGTAAAATCACAAAATATATTGCTTTGTAAAATTAATTAAGTTAAATTCGAAAAATAAAAATTTGCATTTTAATCACGGAAAAGGCGATTAAATTCATTATTTTACATCGATGTAGAACCGTTATAGCCGCAGCATAGACCTTTGCATAACGCATAACGCATAGTGCGTGATAAGCGAATCAACTAATCAGAATCTTTCCTTTCCTCCTATTCCATGGATAAGAATTTCGATTGATTGATTCCCTTATACACTATGCATTATGTGTTATGCAAGAGTCTGTGCTACGGCCTTTAATGTTCAATTCATACGTTTGCACATGCTCCACTTTACTTAAAGTTATTATTAGGTAAACGATGTAAATGATAAATTTTCTAAAATGAACTACCTTGATTGACTAAATTCCGACATCGCGGTCCGGAAGCTCTTAAGCTCATAGTCGATGCGGTGCAATACCGATAATGCAAATAAGCTGCACTCGTTACAACCTGATATAAACGCGCCGGTGTGAAGTACATAAGTTCTAGACGAAATGATGAAAGTCTGCTATATATTATGGTGCCGTTAACCGAATGTCTCCCACGCACCCCATTTAAGTCTCGTACTATTATATATATATATGGTTGATTATATTTTTATTTCTAGAAATGAACATCAATATAAATTCGTAAAAAAATAGATGGACCAATCTTCGTTCTACATATTTAAATTTCGTTCGAGGTATTTAAATTTTTAAACTTTAATCTCTGGCTTTCTCTTCATTAAAGGCTTTGATAATCCACAAAAATTTTCGAGAAATTGTTTAATTTTTTAACTACGTGCTAGAATACTTTTTTTTGTCTTGTAGTTTATATACTTTAAGTGATTACAAGTGAAGTTTTGCATTAAAATATTACAGGTGTTACTTTGTTTAAAATTAACTTTGATAGAACTGGAACTGACAATGAATTCCATTTAGAAAGCGTGTATAAAATTAGATTAGAAAACTGGAGGTTAAATTAAACTGTGCACTCAAGGAAAGATAGTACGTTAAATGCTTCTTATAAAGATAAATTATCTTCATTAATTATCTTTCAGGCTACCCAGCATGCAATTTTGTGCAATTTTGTAACAAACCATTTTGTATACTTGAAATCAAGAATGCTTTTATTCTCGTCATATTTAAAATTATTTTTATATAATGTATTACGTTTAGATGAAATTTTTTACTTTAACATTTATTTCTTATTTTCTATAAAATTTCTCTTTCAAAAAGTATTGTAATTACAATCAATACATTGTACTATATGTATGTATATGGTTATATACAGTACGATATACTTATATACTCGTATATAGTACGTGTATACACATACATATATATTGTATTAAATATATTTGTGTGTTTATTATTTTATTATATTTAAAATTTATTATTGTATTTAATTAAATCAAATTACATATACATATTGGAATAGTTAATAGTATGAATTATATTGTTACATTATAATTAGCTTTGATTTTATTTATATCAGTTATCTATTGCTTTTAGATAGACATAGACATTTCCACTTACTTATGAGTGGCATGATAAATCTAGACATGTTGCACTTGTTTGGAATATATTCATATAGATATAGGTAAAAACGTCCATGATTTTGTCATCGTGTTCTAGTCGATCGCTTTAGTGATTGTTAGGTCAACAATATTGGCTTCGATTTTGGCAAGCGTCCAATGTGTACGTCAAATCTTTATCTTTCTCCAGATTGAAATGTCTGGGCTGTTATCGATAACAATATCTAGACGAAAGAATCAGGACGATATGTATTTATGTAAATGTATTCACATTTGCGACATATAATTTCAGCAAAATTAAAAATATTATAATAACATTGGATAAAATTAAATATTTATTTGAGTGCAAACATTCAAAGAGAAGAAAACTGTATATTTCTTATATGAAAAATTAACAGATAGAAGAAAATTCTGGATCTAATATCCTTCATGTTATAGAATTTCGTGTAATGAGATTTGATATCAAAGATGTATTTTAAATAATTTTGAGATTATATGATGTTGCAGCAAAAATTTAGATTGTGGGTAATAAGTAACATTGTTATATGAATAAGTGAATTAAATTTCAGTAAACAATTAAATCTTTTTTTTTTTTAAATTAATTTTGCATTATTATTTTAAAAAGCTGATTTAATTCGAGACTTAATTACAAAATTGAAGTTTAATTACAAAATTAAGTTATTGAGAAATTACTACTAAAAAAATAATTGAATTTCAAATCGCAATCGTAATGGATTTGCTACTGATATTCTGCTTTTTACAAAGCGTACCCTGTATGCATACCAGCTGTCAGAGCTACCCTCTATTCCTTGCATATTCGACTCGCCCTAAAATAAACCCTCCATCCGCTTGTATTCGTTCTA